CACACACACACACACACACACACACACACACACACACACACACACACACACACACACACACACACACACGGAGATACACACGCACACCACACACACACAAACAAACACACAGATGTTCGGCCTTTAACCAGATGAGGTATACCACATTGATCAGGCATCACCCTGTGCTTGTCACAGCATTTAAGGACGACACCGTCATGAAGAGTGGTCCTCTGTCTAGTCGTAATGTCTTCGCTTTTGTCAACGGAGCAAACAAACATAAATCAACCATATCAATCGTGGCATCCATGGATCAGATGCATGCTCATGTGTCTTGACAGGCCCATGCGATGCGCACCACATTGGTCGGGCTACATCCTGTGCTGAGGTAGCATTTAAGGACGCAGCCGTCATGGATTGTGGGCGCAAACGCCGAGCGAAACAAGTGACAGGCGAACGTGGACAGGTAGGTGGCAACGCCATCACCCAAGAAGAGCGTGAGAGAATCTTACCCCCCCGACGCACGCAATGCGTCATGGACAGCACCGCGTACTCTTCTCCAGCTAAACCCCCGAAAAAACCTTTCCCAGCTTTCCGCAGCGTCCTCTCGGAACCGACAACCGTCCACCAACCTGTGAGTTTCCCACATACATTCGCCTGTCACCTTTTGGCCTCCTGCTGCTACCCCTAAGCCCAGAAAACATTGCGCAACCCATAATATATATTTCACCGCATCGCCACAATGGACGGCTCCTTGTTTCCATCGATTTGCCGCTATGATCGCCGCGCTAATCATGCAATCGCGGCTCTCGTGTCTATCTGAAGACGTGCAGACGTGAGACAAGAAAAAGATGATGAGACGGAGAAGTGGGGATCGTGACTCATGCCTGTGCCCTCCTCTTTTTCTTGTTTTCATCTCCCCTCCATCCTCCCCTCCGATATCGAGTCGAGCAGCGGCAGCGGCAGGAGTCTGGCGGCGTGGCAAAAGCTATACTTCCATGGTCCAGCAATGTGTTCCTGGTATAAAGAGTAGCAGCAGGCTTAACCTCAGCATCCTGTTTTGAATGGGCTTATACCCGATCGTTTCGTGATTTTCAGCAGCGTGAACTCCTCGCTAATTGTCGGGTGGATCCCCACTGTGGCGTCGAAATCTGCTTTGGTGGCACCCATTTTCATCGCCACTGCATATCCCTGTCGTTGCAAGGAAAAACAACAACAACAAAAAAAAAAATCAATGAAGCAAAGCCGCGGAAACCAGAATGCATCAGCAATCTCTGTACATGACTCTTTTGAGGAAGGGACGCTGGACCCGTTGTCCAGCAGGTGCTGGTCCCCACCACTAGATCAGAGCCAACAGATGGCTTGCTAATCGTGGGGGCTCGTATCACCATCACTAGCAGGGCCAACTACCTTTTTTTTTTTTTTCCCTTCTTAAAAGGACGCCGGAATGCATAAAAATGAAAAGAGTTAACGGACATCGGACCGTGAGGAAAAGTAAAAGAAGTTTAAAACAAATACAAAGGAGACATAAGAAAAATTGACATACACTACAGGGTAAAAGAATATTCCGAGAAAAAAAAAAAAAAAAAGCTAAGAAAGCAGCATTTTGTGTGATCCAACATCACTGCATTCAATTACCAAATTGCGAGACCATCCAACCACATCCAGTCATTTACTGAAATTATTCAAATTAATAAATTAAATTATTAATGAGCTCAAATTTTGTTAAAAAGTTAATAAAAAAACCACCTTAAAAAAAAAAAAAAAAAAAAAAAAGAAGAAAACAAAAAGAGGACTTCCTCAATTTCTTGACGACATGCGTCAAAATCGGGAATGATACAGAGAAGATTATCATAGTCCCTGTGCAAAGATAACATGCATAACTCAAAAAAAAGTTGAAAAACACACCTCCTCAAATATTTTAAAACCGCCAAATTTTCTAATATTGTTTTGGGACTCCAACGGCCAATTTGCAAAGCCATTTTTTTATTTTTATTTTTAAATATTGTTTTGAGACTCATACGGCCAATTTGCGACGCCAATTTTTTTAATATTTTTTCGGGACTGAAACGGGCAACTTGCGACCTTTCCCTCCCTCTCTAAATTCTGCAGCCCTATATAACTTATAATATAAGGAGGATGCACTTTTGGTGTACCAGCCTGCCTCTGTGCATTTGATGTTTTTGTTGAAATTTTGAAAATTAATTTTTTTCTTCACGTGAAAATCGCCCGTCGCAAACTGGTGGTCCTGTCCAAGTCAGCACCCACGAACCGGACTGACGCCATTAAAAAAAAAAAAAAAAAAAAGAAAAGAAATTTCAAATTTGATGAGCGCTGGTCTTTTGCACTCACCATGCCGTTTTCACATCGTGTCTATGAGGCTCGCTCTACTACTCGCCACATGCACAAAAGACAAAATATGGTGGTGTTTCTTCCCATTTGTACTTCTCATTTTGGCATTTTGCACATTTAGCGACTTGTGGAGCGAGGCGCTATATTATGATTTCATGCGATGGACTGGCTGCTGTATAATGAACATAGCGACATTGTAAGCACTGGTTGGTGTAAAAAAAAAAAAAAGCACCGAGCAGATACGCGTCTGGCCTTGTGGCGAAAAGCCAAATGGGGAAACAATAAATGCCTACAAAATGTTTTTTTTTTTAAACAAGTTAAATAACTTAAATTAAATGACGAGTCGTTTGACGACTGAAGTCGTTGGCAACAGATTTTTTGTGGTATTCGTAATTGAAATAAAAATAAATTGAAGTTGTGCCCTTTTTCTCCACACAAGATTTCTGCTCTCGTCAAGCTCACATTACAAATGGATCTTTTTTTTTCCCTCCTCTTCTTTCTCTCTCTCTCTTTTTCCTTTTTTTTTCCTTTTCCCTTTTCTTTTTTTTTTCGTCAAAGTTCAAACAACAAGTTTTTTATAAACCGGAAATGGGTCCGGCGTCAATTACATACGAGGCTGAGAAAAGCACCACTCCCGGCCAATCCCATCCCTGACCGCAGCCAAGTGTTCAATCAAAAAAATTCTGAGACCCTAGCATGTTGCCATCAACAACAAACAAACTTCAATAACCACACTACTCTAAAGTATCACTAAAGCACGAACATAGTTCAACATACCCTAATTTAAAGGTAGTGACTCTAGTGATGTATGAGAACAAGTCCCATCTATCCATCAGTTCTATAACCCTAATTAAGCTTTCAATCGTAAAAGAAACGGCTAGTATGCACAAACCCTAGCTAAATAGACGCCCGCCAAAGCCAGATCACAATTTGGAGTATTAAAAAAAACTAAACCATGGAAACTCTGCCAAGAGAGTCGAAGACCAGCATCAAGAACCAAACCCTGATTAGTATCACCCATATAATTTAAGGTGTCAAAATTAACAGCAACAAAAAAAAAAAAGCCACAGCAGCATGCTAAACGACAAATATCCAAAACCCAATCGCAACCCAATCCCCGAAAAAGGGTTAACCCACAACCCAAATGCTGGTGCGACTGCTACTGTGCTACACTCTGTTTGAGTCTTTCTTTCTCTTTCTTTTTTTTTTTTAAAACTCTTTTTACTTTTTTTCACGATTGCTCCGCAAAATTCCCTTGCTCACAAGTTGCAAAAGAGAGAACAGGATTGGAAACGTCAATTAAAATTAAAAAAGAAAGGAAAAGAAGAAAGATCATCGCATGAAGTTTTACCTGGGTGATTTCCCCCGCATTGGGTGCAACAACATGAAGCCCTACAACTCGTTCATTCTCTGTCAAAAGCGTGATCAGCTGCGCCACACCAAAAAATAATAATAATAATAATAATAATAATAATAATAAGAAGAAGAAGAAGAAAAAAAACCCACCGATCAGTAGTAGTTATGGATCCATACATCGGGCGTCCGACCTCCTCGCGAGCCCTCGGTGCACGCATGGATTCAAACCTGCGCCCTTGGCTGCAAGAGCCAAGTCACTTAATGACTACAGCCATGAATGACACTGTATTTTAAAAGGGGAACCCAACCCAGCCGGTAGTAATATCCACTGCACGGCCGCAAGGCTGCAGTGTTGGGCACACAAACACACACCACACACAAGCCCTCACGGACACGACAATTCTTGCACACTTCGCGCCAATCAGAGCACGTAACCGCAACTGCTCAATTGCCCAGTCACACGCACGGGTCTTAAATTGCCCGCAGGACCAATCAGCTCATCGTGCCCTCTTTTATACCCCCCCCATCATAGACCCCGCCACAACCCGTATAATATCCCCCACTATACTTAAACCACCAGTACCTCCTAAAAGTGCTCCGCGTTAACGGCCAGCCAAAAGTGGAAACCGCGCCGTTTCCACTTGGCTGAATCGGGGCTACCAGCCCAGGCCCATTCATCCCAGAAGCCACGCCCGTTAACGCGGAGCACTTTTAGGAGGTACTGGTGGTTTAAATGGCATGGTTACGACTGAACTGAAGTAAGACACAGTCTGGACCACGGACCCAAACCTGGATCAGGATGCCGTCAAGATGGGCCTCTCATCTGATGTGGGGCGCATACCTTTTTTCTTTTTTCTTTTTTCTTCCCCCCTTCCCCCACCCCACCCCACCCCACCCCCACCCCCCACCAAAGCCCCAGACCTAGATCAGGATGCAATCAAGATGGCCAGATCTCATATGATGTGGCCCATCATGTGGAGCAAGGAAGAGGGGGGGGGAGGAGGGGAGGGTGGCTTTGGGGTTTGGGTTTAGGGCTTAGGGGATACCCCAGAAAAGTCGAGAAAACATACTTCAAAAAAAAAAAAAAAAAGAACAGGTCCTCATGGTCCTGGCAGAAAACATACATTTACAATTCATTACATTTCAAATTTATCATTTCTGTCATTTTCTGATTGTTATTCTTTTGGGTTTCCTAAGGAGTTTTAGGGGCCTCGCCACACCACTCACGACTCTCTAAAATTTGAGAGTTTGTCATGTTCACACACCCTCACTCCACCCCGCAAAAAAGTTTTGCGAGGTGCCAGAATCCACGTTTCGCGGGGCCTCCCGAAACCACCCCTTGCATTTGAGGGTTGGCCCGCGGTTGGGACGGACGGACGAGAGTGTCCTTTACACTGGGCTCCTGTCCTGTCCCAACCAACTTTCGAAAGAGCAACCCGTTCAAGAGGCGGGTGCGCGGAGGGGCGAATAACGAACGTATACTCTCGGCAGCAACTCTGAAACAAGTGTGAGAATGGCCTTACTACCGTCTTCCCCCGAACACGGCGCACCTTGATAACGAACGTATACAAGCTATGTTTCCGGCTCAGTGCAGCGAGAATTAGGGTGCATTCTTTCTTTTAATTTTGCCCCAAGCAATTCATTAGTAGTTGGTTTTACTTGTCAACTTCCATCATCTGGATTCAAACACAGGTCTGTATTTCAACAGTTCATGCATGGGTGTGGTTCCCACTGAGCTAGGCTCTTGGGTACAGATTTACGGTGCATTCTGTTCGGTGGAAGACGGTATTAGTCACTACAGACTCGTACAGCGTAGCAGCACCGCTCTTTGTATAGCTGCTTGTCGATTCCAGCAGTTAGAAAATGAAGCAGACTTTCAAAATGGTTTTTTTTTTTTTTTTTTTTTTTAATAATGAAATTTAAAGCTCCAGAAGCCCAAGTATGTACTGATCAGTACTTTCTCGCTTCCGGCCCATCCATGCAAGCATGAAATCGAACTGGCACCCTTACCCCCCACAAGAGCGAGGACTCTTAACCACTACCTCCATGACACGGTGTTCGAAAACGGAAACATACCGGTCGCGATATCCACCCCACCCCTGCATGGCTGTGGTGTCCTACTCTCTCTCTCTCTCTCTCTCTCTCTCTCTCTCTCTCTCTCACACACACACA